ACTCTTGGTTGGAATCATTCGGTAAGTTAGTCGTTTTTGTGAATGTTTGCAAGGATCCTAGAAGGACCTCTAGCTTTGTAAACCCGAGCAACCTTAGCGCATATCAAATATAAACATTAAGTCTTAATTGGCTATCTTGGCTACAGGATAGTCACACAATTATCCATCTAAATTTTAAACCATACAATTATCCAACTAGACTTTATACTATACGTATGACACAGATAAAAACGAAGTCTTAATAGACTATTTTTGCTGTAGGATAGCCACACAATTATCCAACTAGATTTTAAACTGCATGGCACAAATATAAACACTAAGTCTTACTAGGCTATCTTTGCTGCAAGATAGCCACACAATTATCCAACTAGATTTTAAACTATATGCATGACACAAATATAAACATTAAGTCTTAATTCGCTATGTTTGCTACATGATAGTCACACAATTATCCATTTAAACTTTAAACCACATAATTATCCAACTAGACTTTATACTATATGCATGACACATATAAAAACTAAGTCTTAATAGACTATCATTGCTGCATGATAGCCACACAATTATCCAACTAGATTTTAAACTGCATGACACAAATATAAACACTAAGTCTTAATAGGCTATCTTTGCTGCAGGATAGCCACACAATTATCCAACTAAACTTTAAACCACATAATTATCCAACTAAACTTCATACTATATGCATGACACATATAAACACTAAGTCTTAATTGATTATCTTTGTTGCAGGATAGCCACACAATTATCCAACTAGACTTTAAACTATATGTATGACACAAATATAAACACTAGATAAAATCGATCACAAGTGAGTAAATGTTAGCATTCTAGTTTCACCAAACATTCCATAAATGTTAGCATTCTAGCATTCTACATGAAAGAAATCATGAAAAAATTAATATTGGAACCGGTCACCAAAATGCTAAATGATGCACTTAGAACATATAAAGAACCAACAAGTACTACAAGAAAATTAAGTTTTTTCCACCCGAGATCATTTGACAACAAAGTGGGGTAGAAAAAAAAAAGATTACAAAACTAAAATGTGACATATTTGATCAAAGAACACCAAGTAAAAAACAGGACATCTTAACTTATATTTCGGGGATGGAACATTAAAAGAAAAACTTGCAGATAAAAAGATTGATATCTACATACTTGGAATAACAAATGTCCATTGTCCAGTAGGACAGTCCTCTAATGTTGCCATCACATCTGAGCGAGCGAGCTTTCTGAATCAATTGATTCTTCATGTAACACCTCTAAATTTTCATCAACCTAAATGAGGCACGTTACTAAAATCACCTATGACGTTCAATTCAAACGGGAGAATAGAACTACATTTTTCCCACATCTTTAACTAAATAAATTTACTAAGTTTCAAACCATAAATTATCACTAACAATTCTTATCAAAAATAAATAAATAACAACGAAGACAACACTAGTTTATTTCACCTCGAAACAAAATTAATGAATACTATCTCCAAATAAAATTCAGTTCAAATTCAGTTAACTAACCCAAACTAAGTTTCCCAAAAGAATAAAAAATTGATAACTTTAACAAAAACCTTTAAATAGGAAAAACTAAGCACAACCAGTCTACTAACAAACTCTACTACAAAACAGAATAATTGCAACTATCCTAATTAAATATAAATTAAACAATGCAACGCAACTAATGGTAACGATCTAACACAGTCCAACCAAACATAGCAACGATCTAAAATCATATCGAAAGTAACTTTCAGAGGATAACATCAACCATAAGAAATCATGCGAATAATACATATAGGCAACAAAGAAAACAATCAATTTATATCAACACACAGAATCCAATCCCCTTAAGTAAGAAACTACTTGCTATCACGTCCCTAATGCGCTACTAAACTCGCCACCGGCGTCCTAAACCAAGAACAACCAAACTTGGGTTAGAATTCAATTTAATTAACTATATAGGTGAGTCGTTACCTAATAAATCACACTAAAACCACTTTGGTTAAGAGTGGGCCAATGCCGAAGGGGGCGGGTATTGCAAAACGGGCTTTGAACGGTGTAGGTAAGTGTTGAAAACCACCTAAATGCCGCTGTCCACGAGATCCAGCAGTGGAGATGCGCTACCAACGCCAGTGGAGATGCGCTACCAACGCTACTGTGCACGGTCTAGGTGACGGGGACATTTCTGCCGTTGACCGAGAAACGCTAGATCTGTCGCGAAGCACAGCAGAACCACCAAAATCTGAGGTTGCACCGCCGAAATCACCTTTAACCGCTTGGGAAGCTTCACGCACAGGGCTGCCGTTTGCGGGTCTGGGCGTCGAGGTGTGCAGCTTCGCTGCAGAAGACGAAAGGAACGTCGCGCCGCCAAGATATTGCTGAAATTGATCAAAGGACGCCGTCGGTGATCGCTGAAAACCCGTGTATCGCCGCCGCTGGTACACCCGACGCAAAACACCGCCGTTGCTGGGCTCAGGTTCTGATGGAGCGCTGCTGGATCTACTTGTTCGTGGAGGACAACTCGTTGCCGCGAAAAATCACCGGAGGGAGGGAGAGGTTGGACGGAAAATCAAAAGGGATGGGTAGGTGTTATGAAGAAGAAGAGAAGATTAGGGGGGAGGGTTTGTTTTATTTCAAAACATTTCCTTTTATTTCCTTTTATTTTCTTTTATTTCAAAACGTTTCCTTTTATTTCCTTTTATTTTCTTTTTTATTTTATTTTCTTTTATTTCAATTGCTCACTATGAAAGGATTGGTCTTGAATTATACTATTAATTTTGTTGTGAATTGTGCTTCCCATTTTCCCTTTTTTTTTTCTTTTAGTAAATCTGTAAGTTAGGGACATAACATTTTTTTTCGAATTAAATCTTGCCACATGAACACCCACATTTTGAAAAGAACATCGAAAAAGATGAGGAAAAAAAACAGTTAGTAAAAAGGCGTGGTTTGATTTAATTTATTTTAATTTTATTTACCTATGATTACTATATTAATATTATACTTAAACATTTCATGTAGAAAGGGCACAATTACGTAGGGTAAGCAGACCACTATCCCAAATACAATTTTCTACTTATTTCATGGAATATTTGGGGAAACTATTAATCATAAATCTATACTCGATAGAACCGGAGAATCTTGAAATAATTAATATCATCTATAAAACTACAGTTTTTCTGACTGAAATGAAACACACTTAAAATCATTTGTGACACTTTTTGTATGTCATAAATTCTCAAGATTGTCTAAGTAACTGTCATGGAATACTTGAAATTTTTTTTATTTTTCTTGATAATTATAAAATGTCATAAAACATAGAATTTTTCGTAGATCATCGTTTTTTTCCGCCAAAATCACACCTCTACCATTTCGTGACAGTTTTTCACTGTCATTGAAAATTCGGTTTTCGTGACAGTTTTTGACTGTCATAAAACTAACAAAATCAGAAAAGTTGCGTTTTTTCCCGCCAAAAACGCGCCCATATGATTTATGATAGTTTTTTGTTTCCTCTAAACTTTTTTACTATTTACAACTGTCGTGGAAGACCACTTTTCTACTAGTGCCAAATAAATTTTAAACAAAATTAAGCAATATTCTAATTTTTAAAACAGTTTTTTTGAACTAAATTTTAAAACATTTTAATCATTCACATTAATTATATTCTATTAAAGTTTTTTATATTTTAAAATAAAATTAAAAATTTTGAAATGTATTACATGCGTAAATTAACATTCATTAAATCTTCTGTATTTAAATAAATAAATATATAAATTTAATCAAGCCTCTTCACCTCTGTACATCTCTCTCTCCAGAATATCAGGAGTTTGCATGGCCATGCAGTTCCCAAGAACAGCCTCTTCGCATCCATAACATATAATAATATATCTTCCTTAACTCTTCATCTCTGTTATTGGAGAGATCAAACAATCATAGTACGTGTTTTTGAGCTGTGATGGAGGAAGAAAATGGAAGAAGCAGCGCTTTTGGTTTAGTGGCAAAGCTTGAAGCTTTGAATTTGAATATCAATGGCGGCACTGAAACTACTAAACAGCAACAGCGTTTTAGAGCAAATCAAGCAGCTCATCAAAATTCCTTCAAACCTCTTATTGATGTTCTGCTTTCCTGGTCTCTTGAAGACATTTTCAATAAACATCTTTTTAAGGTTCTTCTTTCTTCTTTTATTCTCTTTTCAAATCTTATTCTCATGGAGTGAAGATTTGAACTTTCGACTGTTTCCATGTTTCCATCTCAAACTCAGTTGGCGATGAGAAGAGTAGCTTATCTATGATAAACTCATGATTGTTTCCACTGTTTTCCTCTCAAAATTTGGCCATCTCAAAAAAGTATTTCGAACTTTTGACTGTTTTTAGTCTTAAAATCTGTTGTTAGGTCCTTTATTTTTTTCAATGTGGAATCCTTAACACGACTAGTTACAGGTGGAAAAGATTCCAGGATCCTTCGAGTCGGTGGAGCAATATTTTGCATCGTACACCTACCCTCTACTTGAAGAGACACGAGCTCAGCTGTGCTCCAGCATGAACCCCATCTCCAAAGCTCCATTTGCTCAAGTAATTTCCATAAAAGAGGTGAAACCCATGGGCGAGGAATTTACAAGATTCGAGTTAGAGATTGGAACAAGGAGGCTTTTTCGACGGTGTTGATGCCTGGACGGATTTGCAGAGGAGTGGGAAGACGTGGAGTTTTGCAACTGTTTGCTCACACAAAGGCAGCAAACAGAAGAACAAAACAACTTCTTTTACGCTAAAGACATGGCGGCGGGACAACTTTAAGGAACAGCCTATGTTTGTGGTTCTTTTGGTGAATGTTCTTTCTAATGTGAGGATATGGAATGCACTGCACTTGCAGAGGAGGAACTTGATGATTTTCAACCAAGTATTAGGAGCCAATAGTTCTTCTTCTTGTTCTTCGGATTTTGGTTGTGATGTTTGTGGTGAAGCAAAGATTGAGTCCGACAATGGTTTGTTTTCTACTTTGAATGAATCCCAAGTTAGAGCAGTTCGATCATGTCTTCTAAAGACAAGCTGTGTCCACAAATCTGCCGTTGAACTCATCTGGGGTCCGCCCGGGACCGGCAAAACGAAGACAGTTAGCGTGCTGTTGTTCCAGCTTTTGAAGAGCAATCGTCGGACGCTTGCTTGCGCTCCAACAAACACTGCGATCATGCAGGTAAAGCTCTCAAAACTTACTTTTAAGCTTGTGTTTGAACTTATAATTATGAACTTTTTAAAATATAGAGGTTAAATAAACACGCCTCCAACTTCTAAAATTTTGCAGGTGGCATCGCGGTTTCTTCTTCTGGTTAGAGAAATGCAGGAGAAAGAGTGTGGATCTGAAGGGTTGTTCTGCAATTTGAGTGAAATTCTTTTGTTTGGGAACAAAAAAAGGCTCAAAGTTGGCGAATCTGACAAATATATATATTTGGATTATCGAGTTGAACGTCTTCAGAAGTGCTTCAGTCCTTTCACTGGCTGGAGGCATCGTTTTGGAACCATGATTGATTTTCTTGAAGACTCTGTTTCTCAGTATAAAAGAGAATCGACAAAAGACGACGACTCGTCGCCCCCATCGTCTTTTGTTGAATTTGTAAGGATGAGGTTTAAAACCGTTTCTTGTTCACTCAAGGAGTGCATATCAATCTTCTGCACACACATTCCCAAAGCCATTTTGAAGCAAAATTTCCAAAGGCTGGCTTGTCTCATGAGTTTGATTGGTTCTTTGGAGAGTTTGTTGCTCTCAGACATGTTTGTTTCTGAGGATGTTGAGAAGCTTTTTTCGAGCCGAGAAATGGTCGAAAATTTTTCGGAGAATGAGAGGCTAATTTGGAAGGCCAGAAATGACTGTTGGTTTTGAAATCTCTGCAGGATTCATTGAGTGTACTTGAACTTCCAGGGACTGGAAGCAGAAGAGGGATTACAGAATTTTGTTTCGGGAATGCGTCGTTGTTCTTCTGCACGGTTTCGAGTTCATTTAAGCTGCATTCGATGAAGAAAGTGAGGCCATTGCAGGCGTTGGTGATGGATGAAGCAGCACAGTTGAAGGAGTGTGAGGCTGCAATTCCACTGCAGTTTCCAGCTATGCAATTCTCATAGGTGATGAGTGCCAATTGCCTGCTATGGTTGAAAGCAAAGTAAGCTTAATTTTGATTGAATTGCTACTTTCTAAGTTTCAATTCAGTAACCACTGTGAGTTGGTCTAGTGATCATTGCCACGAATGAAAAAGTAAAGAACTAATTAAACAGATGGCAATCTCTCACAAATGTGAATACTTCTATAAGCTAATGCATTAATTTTCTTCTTTCTTTATATTTTGCAATTAAGGTTGCAGAAGAAGCTGGGTTTGGAAGAAGCATGTTTGAGAGGCTGAGCTCATTGGGGCATCCAAAACATCTTCTCAATGTGCAGTATAGGATGCATCCTTCCATAAGCTTGTTCCCAAACTCAAAGTTCTACTCTAGCCAGATCCCAGATGGTCCTAATGTCAAAGCCAAAGGCTACGAAAAGACGTTTCTTCCGAGTCGAAAAATGTTGGGTTCGTATTCTTTCATAGATATAAATTATGGAAGAGAAGAGAAGGACGGCATTACACAGAGTTGGAAAAATATGGTAGAGGTTGATGTTGTGCTGCAAATTATTCATAGTTTGTAAAAAGGTATATAATCATCTCTCTCCTTTTCTTTTATGGATGGATATTCAACTTTGATGTGTGACAAACAAAATAATATGTTGTTAGTGCGAGGAAGCAAGTTGCACATTAATCCTCGGGATATTAATCATATGTTAAGAGATATCAGTTAAACTTAGCCCCTAAACTTTGTGGTGTCCAATAGGTTTATAAACTTTATAAAGCATCTAATAAGTTGTCTCATGGGTTTCTTCAACTTTAAAAGGTTTCTAGCAAGTAACCTCTATTAGGTTAGCTTAGAGGTCAATTGGAGCCAATGAAAAAAACTAAAGGATTTAAGAAGAATGAGTTCAAATAATAGAGGTCGCTTATCTAGCTAAGATTTAACATCCTATGAGTTTCTACAGTGATCTCTGTTACTAGGTAACCGTCATAGGTTGACATAGAGCTTGAATAGTTGTACTTGTGAAATTAGTTGAAACGTGGCTAAGCTGACTCAATTATTAATTGGTTGTACATTTTTCTTTTTAGGATTTGGGGTTTAGAGTTCAAAGTTTAAATACGGGGAGTTGATTTCATTGTGTTGAATAGTCACACAATGATAAATAGTTCTTATGAGCTTGTTATGTTCTACGATCCTTAGCTTTGAGTACAATGTTACATCAATAATGAAGAGTTGAGAATTTATATCTCTGTCTGGATATGCATCCTTGGATTTGCATATTCAATTTATATTCCTTTCAATGTAGCTTATTTATTTTGATTTTGGATTTCTATTTTTGAATTAAGCTGTAGATACTATTTCTTTGTTTTGCCCACTCCTTTTAAAAAAAAATTCAAGACCCAATCAAAAATTTGAAAACTAAGAAAAAGTAGTTTCATGTTTTTGAAATTTGGCTAAGAATGTAGATGTATTTTCAAGAAAAGCGAAGAAACATATAGAAGGAATCATGTGGAAGCAAAAGTATAAATTCTAAAAATTGAAAATTAAAAACAAAATAGTTATCAAATGGAGCCTGATCTGTCTTCATTTGCCTTTTTGTTTACAGCAACATGTGTTGACTCAAAAGAGAAGATCAGCATTGGTGTGGTGTCACCTTATTCAGCTCAAGTAACTGCTATTCAACAGAAGATTGGGAGGAACTATGATAACTGTCATAGCTTTAAAGTTAAAGTGAGCTCTGTTGATGGCTTCCAAGGAGGGGAGGAGGATATCATTGTCATGTCTACTGTCCGATCAAATCGAGGCTCGTCAATCGGATTTTTATCGAGTAATCAAAGAACAAATGTCGCTCTTACTAGAGCTAGGTAAGAACTCAATACCATTTCTTTTTTCACCTTTTATATCATGAACAACACTTAGCTGCTAACCGAGTCGATAGCCAAGCTCTTTTTAGGACACTAGGCTTTGGTATTGACTTGGCCAATGGGTTCTTTACATTCAAAAGTTCTTTCATTCATTTTTGTATAGGCCCCAACCCATTCGGATAATGATTTTGTTTCCAGTTTTCGGTCCTAAAAAACAATGCCTACTTATTAATCTCAATTTCTTTGATATGTCTGAAAAAGCAGATAGCAAATCAAAGAAACACATAGGTGGAAGCAGTGTGCGTTTAATTATAAGTTAAACTTTAAAAAGCAAAAAAACGAAAGACAAAAACCTTGTTTGATGACCATTATGTTTCTTATTTTATGCTTTTGAAATACTTCTGAGCATGCATTCTTTTGTCTTGTTATATCAACCTTTTAAAATAAATTCAAAAATTTAAACCCAAAATTTTGAAAAGCAAAAGAAATATTTTCCAAAAACTTTGTCTTTTGCTTTTAAATTTGATTAACAATTCAAATATATTGAGAAGAAATATGAAAATCATACTAAATAAGCAGTAAGAAAACAAACATTATTCATTTCTAATAATAGAATACTACGAATATGACCAAAATGTTTATCAAATGGGACTGTATTAGCTTTCGGTTTTGTGACCACTTGCTCTGCTATATTATATATATAGATACTGTTTGTGGATATTGGAAAACTTTAACACACTTTCAAAAATCATAAAATAGAAAAACTAAAAAGCATAAAGAGATAAAAATGATCTTGGGGTTTGTTAACAATTTCCAAAAATGTGAAGCTTTTCCTTCTATAGTATCTTATCTATCACAAAGGACATGTTTTATTACCCTAATTATAAATATAAAATAACTTTTACGAGTCATTTCGTCACAATTTTGAAAAACAGTTTTTGGAAACAAAAGAGTAAAGAACATTGTTTTTTTTTCATTTTGTTTGTAGATGGATGTGGAGCAACAACGTATAGATATTCTAAATGGTCATAAAATCGATCAACGAGCGGATCTCGAATCCTTTGGAGCATGGAGATGAACCTCTTGCTACCTCAAATATGAGGTTAGTTTGTAGAAGACAACACTACCATTCATTTAGTTAATTACTGTACATACTAATTGCCTATATCTTGTGCTTTTCTTAAAATAATTTATCATAAAAATGTAACTTTTTAAAAACTTTGCTAGGCTACTTAGTAGAAAGGGATAAGAAGAAACCATAACCCAAAAAGGAAAAGCAATCAATGGCTCGACAAAAATAAGCAAAGTCCTTTGTAAAACAATGAAGCAAAGTGACTTGGAGAAATGTTATTTTTATTTTTTATTTTATTTTTTTTATCATAACTTCATTTCAGGATCTTCTTGATTTCATTCAACATGTTAAAACACATATTCATATATTAAACAATTATTGGCGAAAATAGTTGTGGGAACCAGAAGGGTTACTTTTTAAAAGTTTTAAGGACTCAAATATCGGTATTTTGAAAGTTGAAGAATAAAAATAAATAAATTTTAATATTTAGGTCACGTTTGATAACCATTTTGTTTTTTTATTTTATGTTTTTGAAATTAAGCTTATTTTTACTTATATATTTATTTGTTTTGTTATTTTTTTTTTATAAATGTTTTAAAAAACTTTTGAGTTTTTGCAAGCTAATTTGTTTTGTTTTTAAATTTGGCTAGAATCCATGTGTTTTTAGAAAATGTGAAAACATACCAAATAAATTGTGAGATATATGCATAAATTTAAAAAGAAAATAGAAAACTAAAACCAACGTCCCGTCTGACAACAATTTTGTCTTCAGCTTCACTTTTTAGAAATTATGTTTGTTTTGTCCCAGTTATGTTTTCACCTTTCTTAAAAACATATTTTGGCTACTTTCTTTTTCTTTTTTTCAGTTTTTCAAACTTTGGCTTAGGAAAATATTTTCAAAAAGTAGATGCAAAAAGAAAAAATAAATAAAATAAAAATACATGGGAAAGTAGTAAGTAGTGTTTACCAGTTTAATTTTTAAAAACCGAAAATAAAAAACAATTAAAATGGTTATAAAATGAGACCGGTTATTAAACCGAACCTTAAGAATTTAGATAGATATTATGAATATTTGGGCCTAAATATAATAATTCTCAAAGTTCCTAGACCCAAATAAGATTAAAAAAAAAAAAAAATCTACCAAAAGTTCTAAAACTTGAGAAAGTTGCTGGAACATAAATGGATGCCAACAAATTGCTTGAATCATCTGCAGGGACTCATCCAAGCAGTAGTTTTCACAAGTCCATCTCATCTTACATAATATATAATTGCAGCAAACGAATCGTCGTCAAGATCCTGCCTCACCGATGTCCAAAAACAGTGCTACGATGAGGAAGAAGGCAAAAGAAGAAGCTTTGAGACTCAGATCGCTCTCACATCTGATCCTGTTTTTTTTTTTTTTTTTTTGGAGGTCATGTAGCTTATTTTCTATATCGTTTTGAAATGGATTTAAACATTTATTTGGAGTTTTAAGTGAGGCTGGAATTGGTATAAATACCAAAATTCTCAAGAAATTTTTGTATTGAGAAGGTTATATAATTAGATTGTTGTGTGGAGTTGATTTAGTAAGATTTTGAATTTAGTTTGATCTGATCTAGTTAGTTGATTTTAGGTCTAATTTCTACTTTTGTCCAATACTTTTGGTTGTCCCATTTTGGTATTTTTACTTTCAAAAATTTCATTTCCGTTCTTATTTAAAACATTAATTTGAGTTCGTGTACTTTGAGTTTTTGTCCATTTTAGTCCTTGTAGCTTTAAAAATGTCTTTATCTCGTACTTTTATAAAGTTACTGTTTTGGTTTCTTTGTTTTTTTTTTTGTTATTTTGTCAACTTTTCAATCACTATTTCAATACAATATTATATTTATGCCTAATACATTTCTTGAAAATTTATAGTTTTGTATATTAAACTGTTTTTATTGTTTATATGATGTGGTAGAGCTTTGACTAAGATTAAAAAAAAAAGTCTGTTTTTAAATGTGCACATTGATCAAAATGGATGGGAGCAAGGTGATAAACACAAGGACCAAAATATAAGGTATGCAATACTTTGATTATATTATTTGGAAGAATTATGTAGATTATAATATTTTGAAATTTTCAATCGGTGTGCTCTTAGGAGAGTGCTGAGGAAGAAAAGAAAGGAAATGATGCTCAAACATCGAAGCCTGCATTTTACAATAATTTATTCGGTAATATGCCACGTTATGAGAAGTACTCGCCAATAATCATTTCACCTGAACAAGAGGACATAATCGAGACTCAAGTTACTAGATGCGAACCTACAGTTGAGTTTCCAAATGAAGATGAAGTCATTGGAACTCAAGTAGTTCCTCTTGTGGTAATACATATAGATATTCATTCGTTAAAAAGATACACAATCGATAACCATTATATGAATATAAATATGATATCTTCAAATAATATTCTAATTTGAATTTGGAAAAATGCAGGAGGATGAAATCCCAATAATTGAAAGATTGGAAAATTTGAAAAGGGGTGTGGGAAGAGTAAAGAATGTGTCAGAAATTAAAGGGAAGAAGAAAACAGATGATACGATCAAAGAAAAGGTGATTATAGTAATTTCATTTTTCTTTTAGGTATAAATTTTTTTAAGGGATATTGATTATATTAATCTTTATTGAATTACAAAATGTTAAGAAATTTGGACGCAAGGATAAAAGGAAAAAAGGGAGATATGATAAAAGTAATTTTATTGGTCAGAATCAGGCAGATGCGTATGATGTATGTATTATATCCATGTACTATATTGTAAGTAACCAATTATATTTGTATGCATATATTTACATTTATGTTTATATTATGTTCAAGCGGCCCCATTGTTACTTCCGAGGGATAAGTGGTTGAATAGCATGAAACTTCAAATATACTCAAAATTAGAAGTGTTGGAGAATATTAAGGACGTACTGTCAAGAAAACATCTAATAAAATTTAGAAATACATGTTTTGGTAGTTTCTTAGACATTAAGATTACAAAATATCCTCTCCAACTGGTTAGCCACATAATTAGAAGACAATGTAGCCCTCCCTAGAGATGAAATTAATTTCAACTTTGAGGGCAAGGTGGTTCATTTTGGATTACGAGAGTTTGAGGCTATAACTGGTCTAAAATGTGAAGAACTACCTTCTGTGAACTTCAAAAAACTGAGTGGGAGATTCCTGAATAAATATTTCAACAACTCAACAATTCATGTGAAGAGGACAACAATAAACACTTTGTTTAATTCAAGGGATGTAGTGAAGTAGAAGGAAAAAATTAAGATGACACAATTATTTTTGTTGTCAAATTTCTTGTTGGGAAAACAACGAGCAGTGGGAATTGAAGTGGAATATATCAAGCTTCTGGATGACACCGATCAATTTGAGAATTACCCGTGGAGGCGTGTTTGCTATAACTCAACAATAGATTCTATAAAGAAAGCAATCAAAAACCCATATGCATCTGTTGTGAGACTCTCTAGAATGCCGTTAGCATTGCTTATTTGGGCATATGAATGCATACCATTGCTTTCTTTGGAGGGAAACAAAACATGCCAAACACGTATCTACTGATATACCAAAGATGGTAAATTGGGAGGCGAACCCACAACCAGAATGGCGGGATATAGCAATTAGAGTTTTTTAGACTGAAGAGGTATTATAAATGCATAATTTTTAAACTTGTAGTTGTGTTTTCTTTATGTATATATATTGATGACTATAATAATTATATGTTAATTTTAATGCAGTTTGAGTTTCAAAATATGTTCGAAGAAGAAGATGATGCACAAACAAGAGTTTTTGAGGAAGGTGAACCATCAAATATGAATTTATCATGTTTTGGATCAAAAGAAAGCTATATTCCTCCATTTTCTGAAGAGTTTAAAGAGATGGTATTAAGTAGTCTCGAGAACATGAATTGTAAAATCAATACACTGTTTTCTGAGATTGAGAGTGTTAAACAAATAGTGAATGAGAATATAGCCGTTATCAGAAAGGAGGATGGGAACGGAGATAGAGGTGGGGGTGGAAGGGATGGTAACAATGGTGGTAGTGAGGGTGGTGGACAACATGCTGAAAATTCAGAAGAAGATCAACAAAAAGACAATGAATCAAGGGATAGTGGAGCTACTACTATTGTTGAGAATGATGAAGATAATATTAACGTAAGTATTTAAAATAAATGCATCGTACATTAGCTATAGTCTTATTGTGATTAATGTTCATGATGTGTGAAGGACATGTGCAATGATATTTACTATGTTTTACATTTTGCAAGGAACTTGGAGTTAAAGAAATAATGGAAGATGAGTTCGTATGCACTAATTTTTTAAATGAGGTTGATAGAATAGAATATGCTCCTCGCAAAAAAAAGGTTTGCTTGTTTTCTGTGGTAAATGTCATTTATGTTATGATTCAGTATATGGTCATGAAAGAAATATCTAATTTGATTTGTTATAAATTGAATCGTGCAGGACAAGGAGAACATCGAGCAAAATGATATTATATCGGAGGATGAAGACATGTACATTCATGCTATAAGTATTAGAATTAAGTTCGTTGATAACTAATATGCTACTAGATGCCAAATAGATGTGATCATGCTACATCCTAATGAATATGTGGTTGGCTGTACTGGTTTGTTCAATATATACAGATATTGTTGTATATAATATATAGAATATGCTTCAATATATCCTTACATCTATTATATAATTATGGAAGCGAAAAAAATTCCTGATGCATTCTTAATAGTGTCAACCAAATTGCTAATGCATTATTTCTTCATAATACTTACATCTAGATTCTTTCTTCATACTACTTGCTCTGGTTCTATTGCTACCGCCAAAGATCGTATATACAAATATTTTATATGTAACATATAGTTATATTAATGTGCAGTTGAGAGAAACATGCATGTTCAAGAAAGGGGGAACGAAAAGATGATGCAAATATTGAAAGATCAGGAAGTTGAACCATTGAGACGAACATAGAGTGGTGATGCCTTCTAAGGTTAATAGATCACTGTACACTACAAAGTTCGGTTCAACAGAAGATAATAAATCTAAGCTATCAAGCACTGAACATTTTGATGCTCCAACTTTCAACTTGTTATCACAACTTTAATTGACTTCATGCAATGGAATACATTATTTAATTTTTTTGTGTTAGTTAATTATAGTGTTCATTATTAAATCTATGTATTGGAATACTATGGCTTCGAGAACTAGCTAGATTTGATATATTGAAGTTTTTTTTATGGTAACTACTAAATTATAAACCATTTGATTACTTTTTTTAGTGGTAAATACTATGACATCTCAATGTATGAAATTACTTGACTAGATTACACACTAAATTATTATCCATTAATGGGTTGTCCTACTTGTCTCATCTAGTAGACCGACTCACCATCCAGCTTATATATAAATTTCTTGTGACTTTAAGAGATGCCAAAAAACATAAAAATTGCAACTACAAGCAAATGTTAAAAATTTTAGGATTTTTGTGTGTTCGGCTACCTACTTAATTAGAATAAATTGTTTTAAGAGAATTAATTACTATGTACTAGAATATTTAAATGTAGTTATAATATATAAACTTGATAATCATATATCTCAAATGGTTGTCTTCGATTTATGATTTCAGGTGAATTATTGTACATATGGGGATATATCTTATAGTGTTCATATGGGGATATATCAAACACGAAGTTGTCAACTTAAGCACCAGTAAATCAAAATGAAATAATATATAAAAGGAATTTTTCCGTTCAATAAAACTGAAATATAACTGAAATTAAAACCAATAATATGAAATTGTTTTAAGTGCAAAAAAATAAATAAGCAAGAAAAAGCACATGAATCAATGTCTATCTATTAAGTAAGAGAAAATCTGCACGACTTCCTATTGTGGCCATATCTACCACAACGACTGCATTTAACACGTCTTTTAAATTCTAATGCTGACGGAATCCTCAATTTCTTTGGTCTACCAGCAGGACGTTTCACATTGGTAGGCAGAATTTTTATAATCTTCACATCTTCAGGGATATTCCAACTTGACTGATGACCTAATGGATGTATACTTCCACTGTACGTGGAACGTAAATAGTTGTTCGAATAGTATAAGGAGACGTAACATTTTGTAGGTAAATGCTTCTGAGTCAGTATAGCACATGCACGTGAACAAGGTATTTTAATGATATCCCACTGACGACAAGAACAACTTCTTTTTGAAAGTATTACCTCAACTTGTCTATGGTTATTAATTACTTGATAAATATCATTATTGACAGCATAAACCTAAAAGAATTTGGAAAAAGACCAAAAAGTCAGTTTTTAAATATTTAAGAGTACAAACATATACATAACTAATTTAATTCAAATGAAAACAATTACTAATTTAATCTTATAATAATAAATTTAAGGTACAGCTGCTTAGGAAAACTTTCTTGCATTGTACGATGAGTTGAAATTTGTTCTCTTAACCTTTTCTCAGCACTTTTAGTGAATTCAGTAATTTAAAATTAGCATCGTTCTTACGCTCATAGAACCACCTTTGCAACATCATCCACACAACTTCTAACATGGCAGCATTTAGACTTTCTGAAATGTTGGTTGTCATAAAATTGTATCTAGATGAACTAGAATAAGCACGCGACCATTTAAAGAAACCTATGCCCGACTGTTGGGTGTGTTGCCCTAAACTCGTAGTTTGTATTTATGTAAAAACAAATGTATATTCAATGAAGTTTTATTCAATAAATTTGTTGTTTAATTCATAGCATTGCATTGTCCAAAATTCAATAAACTAAACATCCGAGGTTATTTTAGTGTAACCGGGACAGTATATGTACTGGGTATATATTTGATATACTGGGTATATAATTGATATACCCCTGATATACGAGGTATATATTTGATATACCCCTGATATACAAGTGGATAACGCCCCGTGAATAACCTAAAGGGTCTATAGTATATGGATAAGGTTGGATACCTTATCCTGACAACACTATGGATACGGCCCATTCTGTAAAGGTTACAGACGACTCGATTCAGGTCGTTCGTGTGGAGACATGTGAGTGGGGGTATCCTATACAATGAGTTTGTATAAAATCGGACAACGAAATAGTCAATCTTTAGATGTAACACTGTTAACTAATAGATTGCTGTTTCTTAGGATAACCAAACAACTCATTCTCAATCCTGAGTGAGTTATGGACTCCTGCCCGTGAGGGCTCGTTCTTTGATCTGTATGGGTAAGAGTGGCCCGAGTTACCGACTCAACATTCCTACCATTTTGGGGACGAGACCGAGTGGGGAGCTGGGAACATAACTTCACGAGATGGAATTCATTCCTCCCCGACTTTAAGGGAGTAGATGAGTGTTCTCTTAAATGCTGACTCCGGGACTTGAACAAGGGGCCCCACCCTCTCATTGGCCCGAGAGGGACTTCCGGTTATTGGTCGGACCATAACTGGGTTGTTCATTAGAGGAGCAGTGGTATTTAAGGAGAAAGATGTAACTCAGGGGTAAAACAGTAATTTGACCAAACTTGAGTTACGAGCACTCGTGAAGGATTGACTTGTCATTAATGGTCGTATATCTGTGGGCACGAAAACATTCTACAGTGAGAAGAGTGCAACTGCGGGTCTTTAGTGGAATGACCCGTAGTTAACGAATGTTGATTAACTCGGTAAATGAGTTTGACCAATTAATCACGTATCGTTGGAGCTTCTGATCTGTAGGTCCATTTGGTCCCCTTGCTAGCTCATAACGGGTAAAACGAGGATCTAGGTTTTGGAAGAATTTGAACTATTCAAATTGCTCAAGGGAATATATGTTTATTGATACATTATAATA